ATCTAGTGAAAGAGTACTATCGAACGTTGCCCATGGCAGTCTCCTATGTGTGATGCTTGTTGCGTTACACCCATGCGAAGAGGCGTCGGCATGCAAATTCAAGGTTATTGAAAATAAGATATTGGAGACAATCTGTAAATCAAAAAAATTCGCCTTGACGAGCTGAATACAACGTTGTTTTCGGATCTTGAATATGCTGATTCGGAAAGAAGTTATGGCCCTGCGTAATTTGCGTGATTCACATGAATTTCGCGGAATTCCCGGAAATTTTGCGTGTTCTGTGAGTGGTTTTGTACTATAAGAGATAGAGCGATAAAAACTCACACAGCGCTTTCTAAAGTACCTTCTTATCGTATATCAAAAATGATCCAATTTTGTGTCGTCAGTGATCTTATATATAAAGCTGAATGTCTGTTTGTCTGTCTTCTGTATGTGGTGTGTATGTATGTTCCAAATAGAAAATTCCATTTCTGAACCGATCCGGACCAAACTTGGCACATACACTTCGGGCCCCGGCGGGTGTCATAGGCTACTTTTCGTCATCGATCGATATCGATTTTATCGATTTTTTGCAAGATTTAAGCTACGGGGCTGGCAGTTGGCACAAGGGGGTAATCGAGCAGCTGATTACGAATATAATAATGACAGGGCCGGGCGGAGCCGGGTAAGTCAACTAGTAAATGATAAAATGATGATATCAATGACAACGACAGATAAGAATGGCTTAAATTCATGCGGTCGATTACCACGTTCATCTTCCATATAGGTGCAGAATTTCAATCCAAGCTTCGGCGTGAAGCGAGTTAAAGCAAAAATGCCATTCTAGGTAAGAATTGGCAGCAATGGCATGTGCCGATGAAAAATCGATCGATTGCTGCAGCGAGGGATCTACCAATTGCACCGTGCAATAGAACTAGAAAAGCCTGTAGATCACTTATAATGAGAGAAAGAGCGATAGAAATTCACATAGCTTTTCCTACAGTACTTTCCTTACGATATGCAAAGTGATCCAAAAATGTGATATTATCAGATAAATGATAAAATGCTTGTATCAGTGATAAGGGTAAATAAAAACTGCCCAACTTTTCGCAATAGTTTTCGATAGTGAAAACTTCGTACCAGAACCTGCTATTCGTGATTTACGCTGTGGTAAATGTTCACAAAAGCCTTAACATAGAGAACAACAAGGTATCATTGTAAGTCTACCCCCTCACCACGAATTACGGACATACTGTATATCAAACGATTCGTCTCATCAAGCTGAAGCCAAATCTACACGCAGATTGCAAATAATGTGGATTCAAAAGAAGTTATAGCTAAATTCCGCAAGTCCCGCAAATCCCGCGAATCCCGCAAATCCCGTGAAGTCGCGAATCCCGCAAACATCGCGAATCCCGAAGATCCCGCGAATCCCGAAAATTCCGCAATTTTGGACAAATTCCACGGTCACAACTGTAGTTGACCTCGACTCTGATCAAGAAGCTTGATCTGCCATACACCAGCATTCAAATCTTCCAATCTTTGTGAGTATCATATCAAAAAGATATAGTATGTATCTGGCGTTTCCCAAGGATAAGAAAGAATGCAAATTTGTAAATTTTATTCAAAGCCTACCATATTTTTCCGTGTTCAACAATAACACACTTAAAAGGAAATAATTAACGCAAAGATAAAGAGTGTTTCTAAAGTAAATCTGACTCGTCAAATGTGTTTCTAACATGAAGCGAAATAAAGTAAGTTCGCAGAAATCTATATGTTATCGAAGCAGTGTAACAATCGAAGTAAATGTAATAGCACACCCTAATGCATTCTTAGGGCCGAGACTGAACGCGTTGTCAACACGCCTACAAAAATGATCACCTACGTAATGCTTTTATGAGGAAATGAAATGCGGCGTGTCTCTCGGTATAGTGAGTCTAGAGAAAGTTGACGGTCTGCGCCAAATCCCAGTTTTTTTGGAATGGTTTCTAAACTGTGAGGCAAAAAAACTCGAGGGTTCAAAAATGTGGTGGAGATATTTATTATTGGCTTGCTCCTCTCCGCCCTTTCAATGTATTGGCTTTTATGGGTCACCGAAGTAAGGATTTTTTGAGCCACGAATCTAAAATTCCCAACAAACTACATACAATTCAAAAGCTGAGATTATGAGGAATCGACATAAGCCGCGACTCCTTCAAACTATTCTAAGCAGTATGATATGGGGATTTATCTGGTATTAAAAAAAAGTAATCATTAACGTAATCAGTTACTGTTTACAGTAATCACTGCATATCACGCTGAGTTGTTTTTGCAGCCTTTAGCATGACCTTTTGGTTTTTAAGTAAATCGACAACCTGGATATACTTACATTAGTTGGTCCTACCTTGCTTCTCTTACAAGCAAAGGTGTTTAACTGGCCACCTATTTCAAAGCTGTGACAAGCCTTAGAAAGCCTTAAAGGCAGTGTCCAGGCAAATCTGAGCATATGGGTTTTTGCCTGGAAACTGATGAGGAGGCTCTACCTAAGGCACTGTCCAAACCGCAGCCAAATAATTGATTCACGGCTGGGAAATCCATCAAATACTACACCGTGACCGTAATACTTAAGTTGGGTCCCAGCGCGAACGTAGTGTTAAAGTGAGCGAAGTCGTTCTTGGGTTACGGTTACGGCGCAGGCGCGGGGTTTCCGGGGACGATTTCTCAGCCGTGAATGAACAATTTACGCCCCCTTGAACAGTGTCCTAGTTAAGACCCCTCTTCAGATTCCCGGCGAGAAACCTATGCGCCCAGATTTGCCTGGACGCCCTTTAAGGCTTGAAAATAAATATGTTCAAGATTTTTTTAGCAAAAAACGTAATCGCGACTGCATCATTAGAGAAAATCTGAAAGTTATGAAAGCTGCACCGCCATGTAGGCAATGTGATGAATTAAGTCCAGCACTTCATAAACACTGCAAACTGAGTTTTATGGCTTGAAAGCGTGACAATCCCATGTTGAGGTTGGAGTCTGTCCATCCATATCGCGATTACGCAAAGATTATCAAAGCGCTGCTTAACTCATTTATCAAAAACGCTCAGTGGATTCCATGACTTTTATCTGAAATAGCAAGAGCTTGAAAACTTCTCAAACCAGCTGTTTGTTGAAGCAGTCTGCTTTTGATGCTTTTACAAATACAAAATTCAAAAACCTTTTCTCTTTAAGAACGTTGAGAGGTTGCGATGTTGCAGAAGTTTCGTGTTTTAAGATGTAACCTTATAAAAAAATTTGAGAGTCAAGGAACGCGTTAATGTTCAAAAGAACAGGTGGCTTTATAATTTTGTCCAGCCCAAAACAGGCTTTTTAATTTTTCCATTTTTTCTCCGCTCAAACTCGCCGAGACTGAAAGCCGTTTTAGTTGTTTGGAAGAGTTATGTTAGGCTTACATGTGCACTAAATAGCAAAGTTTCGGATGCTCATCAACAAGAGCGCAAATTACGACGATTTCTAAAGTGTCTTTTAATTATGTCCAGCACTGTACTACAGTATCTATCCCTGAAAAGTGCAAAGAAAATGCAAGTACTGTAATTGTTATTGTAATTGATAGGAATACTTCTATACTTCTTGAAAAATACTTCAAAAATACTTCTTCACAGAACATGTAGTCGCTGTGTTCCAGACTGAGGCGCTGAATCTCCGAGAGCTTTTTATCAAGATTTACTTTCAAATTAGCTTCTTACTTCAGCCTCAGGTGAAAGATGTGATCCGCGTTCTGGCTCAAACGTGTGGGGGTAAGATCCATTGCTCTCCTTGTCGCAACTGTGACACAAATCCAGTTTTGTAGGTTAGAAGCCGCATGGGACCATTTGGGCAGCTTCCATCGGTTCCCGTTGTCCGGTTGTGGTTCTCACAATCTTAGATAATCGCCGGGGGCAGGCGGGCCCCATACTCGCGCTTTTCTGCAGGCGGTCAGCAGAATTTTGGGGCGTGGCCGAACCTTCAGCGGGCGGCACTTCCTTTACGGTCGCATATTCTGTCTGCGGACAGCAATACAGCATTTTTTGCAAACGCTCGCTCAGGCAATCGCTGGGGGCAGGCGGGCATCGGAAAAATAGATTGCTGATTTCTCGCACCCCGCTCGCGGATTTTTTGCAAAGCAATTAGGACTTTTCGGAAGACCGCTTGCTGAGTCAGCGGATTTTTGAGAGACCGCCTGTTGAATTTTTTTCGCTCTTATCTTTTGCAGATATATTGCTGAATCTCTGAGGAATCGAGAACTCAGCAAGCGGTCTTCCGAAAAGTCCTGATTGCTTTCCAAAAAATCCGCGCGCGGGGTGCGAGAGATCAGCAATCTATTTTTCCGGTGCCCGCCTGCCCCCGGCGATTGTCTGAGCGGCCGATAATTTCTTTCAGCGAGCGCTGGCCATACTTTCAGCAAGCGCTCGCTCTTTTTATGCAGTCTCGGGCGTACGCCGAGAAAAGGTGAAACTCTTTGTGGCAGAGGTGTCATTGATGGTTTGATTACCTTCTGTCAGCGGAAGGTACCCTGGGCAGTGCGGTTCTTCACAAAGGACCGTGTGGCTCCAAACAATTTTGCATATTCTCGCGGAAAGCCCGCGAGAATGCGGCCACTACGCCGCAACTTATTTATGAAAAAGTCGCAATTGTTCTCCGAGCATTCGTCCAAAATCTCGCCAAAATTTTTCCAAATATCTGCAAGCGGACCGCAAGAAACCAGCGAACTATTTTTCCGGTGCCCGCTTGCTCAAAATTCGCATGGCCGCCTGCCTGCGATTGTCTCAGATGGAGCTAATCGAATAGGGTGCTATGACCAAGATTTTAGATCAAAATTCATGCTGGATCTCGCTCCATAATTCTCGTGATAGACATCCAGACACATACAGCACGTGAACAACCCTTAGCTCGTTATTATGAGTCATGATATGGCTATACATGGTTTTTCTATAAAAAAGGCAATATAACTTATTGTTTAGAAAATTCGGTAAACCTCATCAGCCTTGCTATGTGTTCTACTTGCAACTCACCTGAATCACGGAGAGGACTAAAAAATAGAGGTTTGCAATTTGCTTGAATTGTGCAAATAGGAATTTCGGCAAAAAGTTCACGAAAGTATAGTTATTTGTCTGCACCTTATTTGACGGCAACTCTCTTTTGCCCAGCTTTACTCTGAAAACATTTGCAGAATAATTTGAAGCTACACTGATTCTATCAGCCACCTTACGTAGTCTCCTTCAGTGTTATCTTCCTGCATAATTTCCTGAGAGCCGGAAATCGTATTGCTCTTTGCGCACTAGATTCATGAGATTAGCGCAGTATACGAAAGGTATGCCAAGGATGTTCTGCCTTTGATGTCTGTTGTTGACCCGAAGTTGGAACTCTAACTCTAATTTTGGCATACACAAAGCGTTAGCGGTACAATTTGACATATGATTGCTAAGAATGACGGGAAAGCAGGCAATGTTGTGTATTAACAGATTGTTTAAGGGTTTCAATCTGAGTGTCACGGTTGGCGCGGCACGGGTCCTCGCGAGCTTCCTCGCTTTCTCGCCGCTCGCTTCTAGCGGATACCGTATTTTCCACACTTAAGTGTGGGAAATACCGTATCCTTGGGCATTATTGGCTGACGTGCTTGAGAACGCTTAAAGTGGCTCAAGCGAGGCGACCTTGCGAGGACCGGAGTCGCGCCAATCGTGACAATCAAATGAAGTCCCCTTTAAGTAGGCATTAATACGGTGTGGTGGAATTCGAGGAGGCCGACCTGTCAACAGGCCCCGCAGTAATCCCCCGTCGTGATGGTCGCGACGTCCGAAACATCGCAGGTACCCAGTACGTGTCCGCCTATCTCTTGGCACGGCCGCGCGGCGGAATCGCTGGTCGTCGTAACCGCAGGACGTGCTCACCCTCGTTCGCAGAGGAAAAGTAGTGGGCCCAGCGTGGAGACGCAGGAAGGCGCAACCGAAAAGGGTTCGAGTCAGGGCTCGGCACGAGTCTGTTTTTTAGCTTTTTGAAAACGAAGTTCCCCTAACTTTCAGAAGTTTTACGAAGTACTCTTTGACTTACCGACTCAGGAGAAGATGAAAGCAGTAATACTAGTCTGAAAGAATAAACGTGAGATAAGAGTGATAATCCAAAGTGGAGCCGAATACTATGCATGCACAGAAGCTTGGCATTGGAGCGCGATATCTAACAGCCATTCATGAAGAAATCAAGGCAAAAAAACAAAGGAAAGGCAATGATATGAAAATGTTTCCATGCTCAGGGACAGATTTTTGACCGGGGAGTCCGTGCTAAGGAAATCCGAAACTACAGAAATATATGCTCCAGGCGATCTCAGATCTCTGGATCACCGTCTGGAGACAGACTAATTTTGGAAAAGGTATTTCTTCACATAAGTTTTCAAATCTTTTCACATAATTCTTCCGCAAATAATTTTCTATGTATACGGTTCGATTTTGATGTCATACGATTCTGTGTGCGCTGTAAACAAGCAATTTGTTTATTTTAACCTTGCTTTCAAAACGTGCGCACTTTTCGCCATACACGATAGAGCATGTCAATTGTGTGATAACCTGTTCGAAAAGCTTGTGTTCGACTAAATGCTGCTTATACTTGATGGCCGGCCCCGACTTCGCAAAAACGTAGCCCCTTTGCTTTTTGCTCCAAAAACAAATTCCAGCCTGCTTCTAAACGATCTGTGCCGGTCCTTGGGTTGAGTACGCCGTCTTCGTCCTGTGCGCAAGGACTGTAGACACACGGCACTAGGTTTAGCGCACGCCAAATGCAAGATATCAATAGCTGATAGGCGCCCAAATGTCAACGCGCTGAGCGACTTATTCTGTTTTCTATGCATTTCTGCTTTTACTAGGTTGTCCGGAAAATAATGCAGGTTTTGCATTATAACCGCAAAAAGTCACATACTTTTCATTTCCAAGTAGGTTGCAAAACACCATTCGATAGAACAAAGCAAGCTCTACAAAAAGGCTATCTTGCTTTAGCAACAGCCTTGATTGACCACGAGTTTCGAGCCAGAAACTAAAAAATTCAACTGCCCGAAAATTTGAGAAAAATCTTAACACAGTTCATTAAAATCTTACAAAAATTCTAACTTTCTCACGTAAACGCAATCCACATAGGGCATCCAATACACCGTTGCCGTAGTTTTTCTTTGTTAGAAATCAAGAAAACGGAAATTTTCGTGCATTTGCCAAAGTGATGCCATGCCGTTCCCACATAAGTCGTTGTATACTACAGACCTGTAGAAGTACAAACGTAAATTTCCAGCTCTCTACAAGCTTTAGTTCTCGCGAAATATCGAGTACAGTTTTCCCTACCCATGTCGTCCAAGCTAAAATTCAAATGTCTCGAGAACTAAAGCTTGTAGAGAGCTGGAAATTTACGTTTGTACTTCTACGGGTCTGTAGTATACAACGAATTATGTGGGAATGGCACAGCATCACTTTGGCAAATGCACGAAAATCTCCGTTTTCTTGATTTTTGACAGAAAGAAAAGAACGGCAACGGCGTATATGTATGCCCTATGTGGATTGTGTTTACGTTAGCAAGTTGGAATTTTTGTAGGATTTTAATGAACTGAGTTACAATTTTTCTAAATTTTTCGGGCAGTCGAATCTTTTTAGTTTTTGGCTCGAAACTCGTGGTAAATCAGAGCTGTTGCTAAAGCAAGATAGCCTTCTTGTAGAGTTGCTTTGTTCTATTGAATGGCATTTTGCATACTACCTAGAAATGAGAAGTGTATGACTTATTGTGGTTGGAAGTCAAAACCTGCATTAATTTCCGGACAACCTAATATATATTATATCTTGTATTAGAAAAAGTTGAGTTTATTTTGATTATGATTTAATTCAGAAATTCTATTTATTCGCATCTCTTTGTGTCTGAGCTATTTTTTTATATTCTCACATCTCAACTCATTTGCGCACCAAATTTTCCTTCTATGTGCCTTAATCCCTCAATTCTTCCATCTGAACACCTCTTATAATGTTTATATGCTAAATTGCTGTTCGTTCGCTGTGCGTTTGGTGTTCCCCTTATATTTTGAGAGAGGGAATCGTCTGGCGTCATGGCTTACAAAAGCTCATGTTTGCACCAACCAAAGTAATGTTTTCTTTTACAATATTCAAATTTTCTCGTGTTATGTTTTGCCTTGCCATTTTCCTTTCCTCACTACCAAAACATTGAAATTTTGTTTATTTACATAAAATCCAACTAGCTAGCAAGTTGCAAAACATTTGCTCACATGTCATACTCGCACCCGCCACCGACCGTTGGCTCAGTGCCGCCTAATACTGGCGCTGCTCTATGCGCACCTCTTGTAGCAATACCGTCAATATCGCATCTTGATACTAACATGGCGCAGTGTATATTCTACAACTTACACAAAGGCCAACATACATAAAAGCTTGCTTATCAATTTGCTCTCAAGCAGCAAGCAACTGTTCTGTCTGTCGCGTTCTGTATGTCGCATTTTTGATCAGCTAGGTTTTAGCTTCGAAGAGGATCAGTAACGCAGTGGCAGTGCGCGTTGTCGACGGTCATTGAAGGGTTCGACCGCGCGTGCGCGCACAAGTTTTGCAGCGATCAAGACTAAGGCGTGCCGTGAGCATTTTGTCCTTCAGTCGGACAAGTTGAGAGTCCGCCTTCTTTACATTTTACGACATATTTCACGGTTTTACTACGGACCTAAGACCCGGTACGAGAGGAAACGGTCAAGAGGTATGGCCAGCGCGAACTTTCCGCGAAGAGATGTCACAACGACGTCAACAGTGCGTGATTCAGCATTTCTTCTGCAATTTTTTTATGGCATCGAGTCATTTATCTGTTTCTCTCTCCCCCTTCCCCTACTTTTCCAATGCCGCTTAAGACAGGGGTTTTTGTGGGCCACAAAATCCGAGCGTGACGTACGCGGGAGTGCGGCTGCCGCATGCGGCGTACTTTCTGACGTATGATCCGGCACGTGTCTGTTTCTAGAGTTCCGGAAACGAAGTCCCCTCCTTTCAAAAATTTTACGAAAAACTCTTCTTCTGACCATATATGAAACTTACAGTACAGATTCGCCCGCTCTGATAAAGCTCGCGTCCATGTAGCACTAATAATATGCTTCTAAAGGAGGAAAGTCGCTACAGAAGTGGCGACCGGGACAAGTCAGTTCGATAGGCCAGAGTGCGCATATCGCACATAGTCAAGACGTAGAGTCCCACAACGACTCTGCGTCTTAGCCTTGGCGGCAGACGTCTAATCGAAACCAAATTTTGGAATAGCTTTTTTTCGACATTTTCGTGCTTTCCAAGCTGCATTTTCGGAATCAGCGGGAAGGATAAGCCCAAGTAAGCAAAAAGTTTTATCGAAAAATTTGCTCGAACGCTGCCTTTAAGAGAAGACGTAAACGTAAATGTAAAAAAGAGTTACTGGTCTAACGTAAAATAAAAGTGAAAATTTGGGTAGAGGGCTACATGTCGCCGAAATGGGGAGGCCGCCGCCGTCATCTAACAAGTACGCACACTTTTAAATGCATGGAGGTGCGTCTTTGCAAGAAGCCTGCGCGGAAGCCTACTATATTCGGCGACATAGACCTCTATCTTGAAAATTCCAAGTAAGGCCGAATACTGCGCATGCACAAAAGTTTGCATTGGAACGCGATATGTACAAATAAGGCAAAAAACAAAGGAAAGGCGATAAAAAACGATATAGTAATGTTTTCGAGCTCAGAGCATCAGGAAGATGTTTGATCGAGGAATAATTCCTAGAAAGATTCGAAACTTATGTGGACTTACAAAAATACTCAGGTAATCGCCGAGGGCAGGCGGACTGCAAACTCTTTATCTTCATCTTTATCTCATACACGTAAACGTGTGCCAAAGCCCGCGTGAGTAAAGAATACATTGCTAGAGTAAGATAGAGTAGCCTGTCACCTTCAGCAGGAACAACAGCGAATAAGGTCCTCAGGTGGAAAGAGAAAATTTCTATTTGGTCAAGGGAGGTCAGATGGTTGGCTTTTTCAATTTTGAGCTTTTATAACTCGCAATGAGTTGTAAATTTCGAATTTTCATTATTATTTTTTTATTTTCTCAAAATAC